ACTCATAAAATCCGACAACCCATTCAATTACAAGTTCAACCATACTAATTTCATTCAATTCTGACTCCAAATCGATGTTCAAAACTCAAATATTCGTATTATGAACTTTAGGCCAACACCCCCAATTTTCTCTTTAAATTCATCAACCAATTGCTAAAAATGAAGATAGATTCATGGAATATTATCACAAGGGAGTCAAGAACACTTACCCCAAGTTGTGTGGAATAAGTCTTCTTCAAAATCGCCCAAACCGAGCTCCAAAATCGGAAAAATGGGTAAACATCACGAAACCCCGAATTTAAGCTTTTGCCCCAGCGATTTTTGCATCTGCGGCGCCTTTCTCGCATCTACGGGCTCGCAGATGCGCATCCCCCTTCGCACATGCGGCCTCGCAGATGCGAGCAATTTCTTTGCACCTGCGAGCATTGCCCAGTTCCACTCTTGGCCGCTTCTGCGACTTGTTGCGCGCATATGCGGCTTCGCACCTGCGATCAAAAGCTTGGCAGGTGAGATCACACCAGTAGGCAGCAGTTCCAACATTTCCTTAGTCCGAAATTGATCTGTTAACCATCCGAAACTCGCATGAACCCATTGGGACCCCGTCCAAATATACCAACAAGTTTCATAACCTAACACGGACCTACTCAAGGCCTCAAATCATATCAACATCAAAATGACGAATCGCGCCTCAAATCAAAATCGATGAACTTTGAACTTTCAAATTCTATATCCTGTGCCGAAATATATCAAATCAATCCGGAATGACTTCAAATTTTACACACAAGTCACATTTCACATTACGGACCTATTCCAATTTCCAGAATCGGATTCCGACCCCGATATGAAAAAGTCACCCCCGGTCAAACTTTCAAAAATTTAACTTTTGTCATTTCAAGCCTAATTCCACTATGGACCTTCAAATAATTTTCCGGACACGCTCCTAAGTCTAAAATCACCATACGGATCTATTGGAATCATCAAAACTACATTCCGGGGTCGTTTATACATAAGTCGACATACCACCCGGATCTGGAGTCACAATTCACGAGCATTCTAGAATTTGCTATAAGTAATAGTCAGAAAGAAATATAACTGTCTGAATGAAAGAAACAGTAGAACAGAAAAGATAGACGGGGACTTCAAGGTCTGTGAACACCGACAGATCTACCTTGAGTCTCCGGACTGCGGACCAATAGCAAAATCTCGATCAACCCGAGTCGGTATCAAAATTTGTAAAAAAAGTGCAGAGTGCAGTATCAGTACAACCGACCCCATGTACTGGTAAGTGTCGAGCGTAACCTCAACGAAGTAGTGACGAGGCTAAGGTAAGGCACCTACAAATCAACCTGTATAATTTAACAGTGTATATGCAAATAACCGAAATGAAGAACTAAACAGGAAATATCGGGAGGGGAATTTAACTTAAGTTTTAAACTTTAGAACTAAGTGTTCCAATTCATTCCAAAACCTCACCGGACCCGAACCAATCACCCCGAATATTCACACAATAACTGTAAAGTATAATTTGAGCAGTAAATGGGAAAACAGGATTGTAATACTCAAAACGACCGGCCGAGTCATTACAACAGTGATAGAGATGGTGGCAGCGATTATACTTCGATAATCGAAACCCTAGACCCAACCAACAGTAATATTTCATCAACCCCTAACCCACCTAATCGAATCCTAGAGATAGAGACAGAAACTTACCGGCGATGATATAGGGAGATGGAGATGCTTGGTGCCGATTTCAAGCGTATATTGTTTTAGCAAATTTTGTGGAAAAGTTGAGCGGCTTTACAAGGTTTAAGCGGAAGAGGATTTAGAGGGAAAATAAAACTGGAGGGAATACCAAAAAGAAAATAATATTTTTACCGTCTATTATCTTATATGGCCAATAAAAATATACTCCCTCCGTTCCAATTTATGTGAACCTGTTTGACTAGGCACGGAGTTTAAGAAAAAATGAAGACTTTTGGAATTTGTGGTCCTAAACAATTCAAAAAGGGGCCCAGATTATTTATGTGGTTATAAAAGCTTCTCATTAAGGGTAGAATTGTAAGTTTAAGTAAAATTATTTCCAAATTTAGAAAGGGGTCATTCTTTTTTGAGCTAACCAAAAAAGAAATAGGTTCACATAAACTGGAACGGAGGGAGTACTAATTACCGGTAAATATTTATTGGCCGGTAATATTTTGCGTTCCCTGAATAAATTAGCGGCAATTACTTTATTGCTGATAAATAATTGTCGCTAAAGCCTCTTTTTGTTGTATTCTATGTGGAGTTAAACTTCACGTTCTAGGGTTATGGTTCTTTTATGACTGTTGTTATTTGAATATTGATTTTGATTTCTTAGTTTATCGCATTGGTTCATTTATTCAATCTTGTGCTTAATTATTTGATTGCTTGATCACCAATTGAAAACTATCTACGAATCTAGAATTGAACTCGAAAGTGGGAATTCTAGATTGCACATAGGATTGAGTAGAGCAAGTTCTTGAACCTGGGCATCGGGGAACGGATTCGCGGTTAGGATAGACATATACCTAATTGCGTTGCTTGGTTGATGTACAGGAATTATAAATGCGTTCTTGCTAGTTCTAACTCCATAGACATATAGGTGTTAGGTTAGCTTGAATAGGCGAGTAAGAACTCGACAGATTCTTATGAGCAATATTAACCCTGTCAACCAATGAACTAGATGAATTAGTCAGTCAATTCAATTGAAGAATACAATAGGAATGTTAGATAACCCATAACCCTAGATCATGTTTTCATTACATTGATAACATAAAAATCTAATCTTCCTATGTTCAAAGTTCATTATTTATTTTTATTTATTTTAATTAGTTTAGAATCAAATACTTCTAATTTTAATTCTTGTTTAGATAGTTATGATAGTTTAATTTAGTTAATAGTTAACCAGAAGTCCTCGTGGGTTCAACATCTGATTTTTAATCACTTTATTACTTGACGACCGTGTATACTTGCGTGGTCGCAATAAATTTTCATAAAACACTTTAGATCCTAGTAACTATTGTTTGTCTAATTACCATTCGTAGCTACTGCTAAATTGTTACTAACTTGCATCATTTGTATTCATATGCACAACGAATACAACTTGTATCAACTGTATTAGTTCGCGCAACAAACACAACTTGTATCAACTGTATACGTTTGCGCAACTGTATTCATTCGCGCAACGAATACAACAAGTAGCAACTATAACCAAGGCAAATACAAGGGTGTATACAAATAATACAACTTGTATATACCGGTGTGTATCGAGTGTATTCGTTGCGCATACAACCAAGGCGAAATAAAGAAATACATAAAAATAAAATGCTTTTATTGAAAGTTGAACTCAAGACTTCCACTAACTAAGTGAGCACTTTAACCAAGTGAGCTATGAGAGCTTGTTGCTCTTTTGTTTCAGTTCAAAATGATTAATCTATTATATCATGGATTTGCTATAAGATTCAAATATAGTTACGAATAATAAAAATTTGCTAAAAGTATAACCACGAATAATAAATACAATATATATGTTTGATGTGTCGCATAATTTTTCCTTTTTCTTTTAGGTCATAGCTTGGAATCCATAACTCCTAATTTGCTGGAATAATAGATGTAATTGTTTTTTCCTTTTCCTCTCACAATTTTTGGCTTCACTAATTAAAAGCCCCAATAAATAAAGAAAACATTTTGATCAGGATTCTTATCCCTTGGAATCCAGAGGTCTTTTAGGCTTTTGTGGTGATAAAGGACATCCTTTTTCATCTATTCATATGATTCATAGAATTGCATATGTGGTTATAAAGATGTAAAATAGGCATCCTTTTCCACGTTTAACTTAAAAACATTAGTAGAAAAAGCAAGTATATCTTCTGCTATTCCAAGCTACCTTTTGGGCTAAGCAAACCCAACAGGTTAGCCTAACCATCATTTTCTCTGAATCATGTTGGGCTGATTTAATGTATAGATTTTGACTTTATAAAAAAGTGCAAATATACCCTTTTAGAAAATTATTCCTTTCGAAGAATGTTAGATTCATATCTATATTTGCTCATATAATTTTCAGTTTGCTTATAAAATATTAGACTGTGGCCTAACGTTTTTCCACAAGATTTTCAGTTTGTTCAAAAAGAATATTTAGATCGCAGTGTAAAAAGTTCATCAATTGCAAAAGAAATAAAAAGAGAATTATTTACTAAACAAACTGATACAAAAAGAGACACCCGACGAAAATAAGAGTGTAAATTGCTCATTCATCATCTTTCAGACCCCAAACGTGCAATAGGTTAAAAGAGGCCTAGATCTAGATGTCATATTTTTAAACATAGTTTAAAATCATAATTACTTTTGTCTAAGATATAATTAAATAATAAAAAGTACGCTCTCTCACAAACTTATGCTTTAAGAGAAGATGATCACACACTCTTCTCAGAGCTCATGCCCAGCACCTTCCGTTTTATTGTAGAAGATCTTAGACTATTTACATTTGTTACAAATCATCAAATTTTAATTTTGGCAGATACAAATTATAAAAGTAATAATATATATCACCTAATCATGGTTAATCAAATAAATATCCGAATGAGAGACACATATTTTTCATTCATTAGCATAGTGTAAATATCACTTGACACCACGGTGAGGTTTTTATCGAATGAGTGACATTTCAGTTAGGAGATCTTTACACAAAAAGTTGTCCTGATTCACTGTTTACTTTTCTGAGCTGGAATACACATATTATACACACACACACACACACATATATATATATATATATATATATATATATATATATATATATANTAACTTGTAGCTGTCAAACAAAGCTATACAAACTTATCCAATTGATCAGAATATGGTTTTTCCTTTAGAAAAGCTTCAAAAAGTTTAGATTCTTGATATTGTAAAGAAAGACATAGCATATATAAATAGCAATAGCTACCTCCTCCTACACTCATATAATAAAAAAATTGAGCTAAATTTGTAAACATTTCCACACCATCAAAATGTCAAGACTAGATCCTTTAATAGTATCTGGGGTAATAGGAGATGTTTTGGATTCATTTACAAGGTCTATAGACTTTAGTGTGGTTTATAATAATAGGGTACAAGTCTACAATGGTTGTGGTTTGAGGCCTTCACAAATTGTCAACCAACCTAGGGTTGACATTGGAGGAGATGATCTTCGCACTTTTTACACTATGGTAAATTTCTTTTCTTTCTTCTTCATGTTTGTCCCACCTGTCTTTTCAGAGTCTTGAAAAGTTATCTCCGTGTAATCTACATGGATCATGAGTTTGAGCCGTAAAATTAGCCAATGCTCCTTATGCCAGGGTAGACACCTCCTTGGGGTACGACCAGAGACGAAACCAGGATTTAAAGTTTATGGTTCAAAATTCTAAACCGTTTAAATTAATGGATTCTAAATTAATAATTTATACATATTCGATTGATCTCTTGTGACAATTATAGGGTTTGAACAAAAAGTATTGGGGGCGGCCGAACCCGTAGCTCGTGCTCTAGCTCTGCACCTTGGTACGACCCTTCTCCGAAACCAGGGGCGGAGCCAGAGTACCGACTGCGAGTTCGGCCGAACTCAGTAACTTTGATTCAAATCGTGTATTCATCTTAAAAAGTTTATTGAATATGTACGAATTATTAATTTAAAACCCAATAATTTAGAAGGATTGGACTCCTAAACTCATAAGCTTGAAATCTTGGCTATGCCTCTGCCCGAACCCTGCGTAAATGGGGGATATTTCGAATTGTACTTTTAATTTATATCTTCTTCCTTTTCACTAGCTACTCCATAAGCAAATATATAACTCCATTTGCCTTAATTTATGTGTCTTACTTTGCTTTTTAGTACGTCCCAAAAAGAATATCATACTTTCTTATTTAGAAATAATTTAACTTTAACTTTATATTTTACTTTTTATGAAATAATTTACAATCACACAAATATCTCTGTTTTGTTTTAGATCACAAATTTCAAATGTCTTTCTTTCTTTCTTGAATTGTGTATCAAGTCAAACATCACTTATATAAATTGAGACGAATGGAGTATTATTTTGAAAAATAGTATAACAGGTATATATCTAGGTTCCCCATTTTAAGTCGAAGAATTTTTGCACTCTTAGTTCATGTTACATATATATATA